AACTCTTGCGTAGATGAGTGTGTGCGCGTACTCGTGCATATATGTGTTGTAAAACGTTTTTTTGTTTTACTTGTAAAGAAAACAGAGAAAGATAAATTTTCCTATACTCAAGAGAATGGAAGCGGAACCATTAGAAGATGGTGAAATCACCGATGAGGTTAGAATTATTGACAAATTTTTATTTAAAATACTAATGTAACTTTGTACAAATATAAATTCTTACATATTCGATAAACTGATATTATTTTCCAAATTATTGATTTGAAATTTATATCATCTACATTAATGTAATTATTTTTATCATGTAATTTAGATGTGTACATTTTGCGATGTAGAATGTATTACAATAACGTAAAACAAAATACAGGAAAGCGGAGTACAATGTGTTGACGAAGTAATCTAACTATTATTCCTTTGAATGCTAAACAAATTTGTAACGTTTATCAAAGTGTATTCATTAGATATCTAAGTTTTAAACATTGAAGAGATAAATGAAGTACAATATCGTTGTGTAATCCAAATTATGCTTTGTTACTTATACAGGGAATTTTCTAGCAAGAGACACTAACAACATTGTATAACACAGTATATGATTTTGTGTTTTCTAACTGTAACAAGTTAACACAATTGTATACAGCTAAAATGCGTGTTTGATTATATCATTATGTTATATCACTTCACGATACAGAATTTTTATATTTTATTATTATATTTTTATATTTTATTATATTTTTATATTCTATTATTATTATCATTTATTTTTCTAAGCTGTTCTGATGAAAATTTTCAAGATTACATTTAGTAATATTTTGACATATGTGTGAGACTTTTCCTTTATTTCATTGTAGAGATAAAAAGAGTAAAACTGATGGTACAGGATGCTTGTTTTTCAGCTAGCAATCCAGCAAGAAAACAAGCATTGTGTGCCACTGGCTTAAGCAATGTTTCAACTACAAGTTAATATTGTGTCATACCATGTATGAGTGTATATTCGATGCTAAAATAGAGGCTTATGTATTAAATACTTGACTATTAACTATTTAGGAAAGATACAAAATTTTAGTGTTGCAAAAATTTAATAGCCCTTTGAAACAACAAATAATTTTACATAGTACTCCTGACACTGTGTTTAATTGTGTCTTCTAGCTGAAAGGATCCCATAATACATCGCACAATGTTAATTTTACACTATCTTTTTTTATATATCGTTGTATAACATATATTTGCTTTGGCATTAACAAATTTGTTTTTAAATAATTATTTTATTTCTTTATATAGCCCAGCGACATCTTTGAAACTTATAAAATTTTACAAAGACCTCCCATAACGCAGACACCTATCACAGAAACATGTACAAAAATGAGATATAGTGATGAATCTGATCACTCAGCAGATTCTGAAAGTGATTCTGACTCGGATTCCATACAGACTAATGTTAAAAAACCAAAACTTAAATTGAAAAAGAATAAGCATTTGTGGAAGGATTTGCCAACCAAAAATGATAAATACAAAGTATGGTGTACTCAAATGCAGGAAGAATCTTTGACCGAAGATTTAACGTCATGTGGTGTTACTAAAAAATTGTATCAAGAACGTAATGTCGAAAGTTACAATTTTACTCTACGATATGCAGAGAATGGCAGGGAACCTTGTAATAATAATAGCTCTGATGAAGAAAAGGACATTGAACGTAGATTAACTAATAAAAGAACGAATTCAGACAGACGTGATGTGAAATTTAGATTGGGGAAAAGGAGAAACTCCATGGATAATCAAAAAGGTTCAGTTAGAATAATAGCAGATTTATCTACAACTGTGGATTCAACAGATGCCGATGTTGCTACTGACATAACCAATAAGCTCAGCGAAAGAAAAGAGCTTCTTATAAGTAAGAAAATATACATCAAAATATATAAATATTTCAGAAAATGTTAAAAACATTAGTTTTGAAGTTATAAGTAATTGAAAATATCTTTTTTACATATTGTGTGTGTGAGTTACACAGAAGAGAGATAATATGTACAAATGCAACCTTTTAATAAAATTAAGAAAATTTTTGTTTCAATTTGATTATATGACGACCGATTACTTTATTACAAGTTGCACATTATTAAAAGATTGTGAAAAATATCTTTGACTTATGCATCCGATAATATTTAATTTATTTCAATAAATATTTTAGATATCTTATTTATAATATAAAACAAAAAAAAATCAAACAAGGCTAATGAGAATACAATGGAGTTAATGGTATGCAAAAAGTAATATGAAAACTTTACAGATTTATTATGTTGTCATCACAATTTTAATTGATTTTGAATCAAATATTATTATATGCATTGTACTCTCAATAGCCTTGTTTGATTTTTTCTGTTTTAATTTCGAAAGTTTGTTTTGTAGTTAATGTTTATTATAATATGTATTTTGTTTAATCTGTTGTAGGACGAGTGGTGGATATAATTGGTAAACAGAAAGCTATTGATTTTTTTCAAAAAACAAAGAAGATCGAAGAAGAAGGTGGAATGTTAATAATGAATGGATCTCGTAGAAGAACTGCTGGTGGAATATACTTTTGGTTGGTGAAAAATGATGAACATATTCCTCAAGAAAAAATAAGGGAGATATTTTATTATGACCAAAAAGAGAGCAGCGAACAAAGAAGGAAAACTGGTGATTCAGGACGACAGAAGAGGGAGCAGGAATTAATGAGAAGTTTTGAGGGTACATTATATTTATTTTAAATAGAATAACATATATATTTAGAGAGAGAGAGGGGGGAAGGAAAAGAGGGAGAGAGAATGGTATAACGTTAATCTACAATTTGTCTTAAAATTATAGATGGATCTGAAAAGGATTTACCAGCTTTATTAACAAGAGCGGAACTCTCAACGAGACAAATCGCAGAAGAAGCAAGACTGCGACGTGGCGAAGGTATGGACAGAATGCCAGTAGATTCCGATCGCACGGTATCAAATCCACCACCCAGTCCTGTAACAGATGATCCAGATCATTCTGAAAATCCATTGGTACAGAGACAGGTTCAAGATTATAACGATGATTTTCTCGATATTGGAGTGGACATAGATAGTATGGAAGTACTCTAAAATTATTATTTGATCTTGCGTTTGCACATACTTCAACAATGATTTGTACAAATAAATGTTTGTAACCAATCGCATAAAGAATACATATGTGTATAATTTGTGAGATTGTATATATTTATATCACATATATTCTATATCAACCTGATTTCGTCCATTGGATATCGATCTCTTTCAACCTTTTCTGTTCTACGTGATCTTTGAAAGAAAGAAGTTTGGCATTAAAACGCCACGCGTGTTCTCGTATATGTTGGCGAGTATGTACATATTTTCATTGATATATGGGACCTATAATTTTTTTTAACGCCGAATCTGAATAGCAAAGATACTCTAAGAAATTTGCCATTGCCTTTCGAAAAATAACGATCAAAAAAAATTTGATGTTTTGAATGAATTTGAACTCTGGATCTTTGGCACAAAGAGCAGTCACGCTACACATTCTGTGCTACAATCATCACGATTTATCACATTTATATTCGTAAACAGACCGAAAACAGTGATTCAGAAAGAGATTTGTAACAAGTAACTGTATATACGTCGATCCATTGCTGGAATAAAAAAATTGGAAAATTGTTTTGCATAATTTGATAGCCCCAAGTGTGTAGAATATTATGTTGAAGCTTTAACATAGCAAATGTAGGCGTAAATAATAAAAAAAAAGTAAACTTGAAATTTTAAACGTGTTTTTCTCAAAACATTTTTTCGATCTAATAGAAGTGATAGAACAAAAACTATTGAATGTATCGCTTTCAAATATTGCACGATTGTAAAGCAATGCTTTTTCTACCGGATAGACTACAATTATATCAATATCAATGATACTTTTTTTTTATCGTAAAAGCAAGAGCATAATTTAAGATAAAAAAATCAAACTTTTTTTTTAAATAACCGCCATTTTGTTAATTTTTATTTAAAGTCAATTATCATTGGTCGCATTCAGTAGACTCAACTGTTGCGGATCCGTAAGCGCTCGCTATTTGTGTATTCTTTTAGAATGTTTTAGATCATCCAATAGCAGCAAGCGCTCATTAGTCTGCTCCGCAACAATTGAATCTGCTGAACGCAACCATAGTCTATATCCAGTAGAGACATTCTTTCTGAATAGGAAAATCAATTTTTTAACTCTTTCAAATGACTAATACAATCTGCAGTACTTTCGTTCTGGCTTTATGTTTAAGTTGAAGAGACTTCTTTCCCAAAACTTTATGTAGACTTATAGTTAATACGTTAACTTCATAAAATTTAAAATTAAAGAGAAAAGTATAACAAATATGTGAAAACAATGAAGTATATATCTTCATTACTTTTTTCGAAACAAATTGTTAAAAATCGCTTTTTTTTTTAAGCCACAAGGTAGAAAGATTCTTAAATTAATTCATTATCTAACGTCCAAATATTTAGAGATATTAATCTCAAACTTCTTTCTTTTTTTATTTTTAAAAAATTTAATTATACTTACACACACACATACACACACACGCGCGCGCGCGCGCGTACGCACGCACGCACGCACGCACACACAGTATTCACAAATTTTGAAATTTTTTTTAACAATTTTTAGTGTTGTATCTTAACAAAATATTATCAAATAAAATTTAACAAATAAACATTTTTAAATAGATTTACAAAAAAATGATACGATGATTTTTCGCAGATTCTGAATTTTTTGTGTAAAAATTTATATTTTCTAAAATGTTTTAATTTTAAAAATTAAACAATTTGCGGAAAAAAGATACAAAAAAGACGTATTTGATTAGTATAAATTTTTTCAAAATTATTTAAAAACTTTTTTAACCGTCAATACAGAAATTATAATAAAAATTGTAAATATAATTAAATTAAAAATATACATTTTGCTCTGTTTCTTCCGAAAACTAATCTATAATCAATCTATAATCTATAATCTTATGCCTTCTATTATGCGCAGAGCCTATGGCGCAACTTGCTAACTTTGAATCATGAGGTAAGATTAAGGAGACCTAACTATATGGATTGGAAGTGATCATGAAAAATGTTCCGTATACTGCCAGGTTCGCTGAATGGAATAACTTACAACATTTCGTCGATATATTGTGGATAACAACTGGTAAAAAGACATGATGGGAAGATTATATAAAAACATATGATTATAGTGTAAATGTAAAATTCGAAAATTAAATTAAATTAAATTAAAAAATATTATAAATGTTTTTAGTGTAATATGTCAATACCTATAGTAAAATAGTAAGTATATAAATAAAGATAAATAAAAATAATATATAAATTAAAATTTAAAAATATAAATTGTATTACAATGTATTACAAAATTACTCTAACAGAAATTCTACTGAACTTCACTAACCATAGGGAGCTTTTCAACAATTCCAATAAGAAACATAGATGACACAAGCTGTTTTCCAGCTAGGACATAGAACATTACAATTGTGTTCCACTGTGTAAAGCCTGTGACACACGATGCTTATTTTCCTGCTGGATTGCTAGTTGGATTAGAATTTTGCCATCGTATTGGCTGCGATGCTGTCAGTGCCAGTATTGCAGTCAATACGGTGGCAAGATTCTAATCTAGTTTAGCAATTCAGCAAGAAAATAAGAATCGTGTGCAGGGTTTAATATGATACTATACATATATGAATGCTCAATATGGCGACAAAGGTGATCGATTTGGACGCTTTCAGCACTTTTCAGTATTTCTGTTCTTATTTTACGTCTAATGAACAATAAAGACAGAATGATGATTACAAGCTTAAAGCGCGTGAGCGTCCAAATCGACTGCAGCCAAAATGTTGCAAGTTATTCCGTTTAGCGAACTTGGCAGTATAGAGATCATTTTCTGTAACCAACTTTTTTCTCCTTACTCTATCTAGTTAGGTCACCTTATTCTTACTTCATGCTTTAAAAGCTTATAATTCAAAAGCTATTATAGTCTCAGCATTTTGGTATTGGAATTTTTATCTCTAAATGGTTTCAGAAATCTATCCTTAAGCACCGTTACCGACATTTACCGGACAGCCTGTATATATGTATATGTATACAGAGTGTCTTCCAAATTTTTTATCAGATTTTGAGATTTTATAGAAAATTCAACTCTGAAAGAAAGTTTCTGATAAATATAAATTGAAAAATATTTCTTTAAAAAGTTAGCGTCCGAAAAATTTCTAAAATCACAATTGTTTTAAACATTTTTACAAATATCAGGGAAGGCGTTTTTTTAACAAAAAGTACGAAAATGACAGTTGTAGAGAATTCAATTATCTTTCAAATGAGATCAAAATAATGTAGTACGTTCCATAGGTTTTGAAATAGTTTCAAATGTACAAAAGTTTTTTTTATCGAGAGTAGAACTTTTTTAAAGATATTCTTTATATATTTATGCTTGTTCTTTATAATATTTATGGGGAATAAAAAAAAGAGTAGAAAAAAATTAATTTCATATAAAAAATCAGAGTAAAAAATCTTTAAAAAAAGTTTTAAGCGTTATCGATAGCCGAGAAATACTTTATTGTACATTTGATAGTTATCTAAAAACCTATGGAATGTGGCATAATGATTTTAATCTCATTTAAAAGATAATTTAATTCGGTGCAACTTTTGTTTTGGTAATTTTTAAAAAACGCATACTTTCTCTGATATTTGTAAAAATGTATAAAATAATCGTGATTTCAGAGATTTTTGGACGCTAACTTTTTAAGAAAGCATTTTTCGATCTATATTTATAGAAAATTTTTTATTCAGAACAATATCCTCAAAGACTAGAACATTCAGGAACACTCTATATATATACATTTATACATATACACAATTAAAAGAATAAAAAAAAACACTGAATTATATTCATCTAAAGTAAAAACGTAAAACAAATAAATGTATTGTTCATTGGCATGCTTTGTTCCTCATGTTTTATGACGCTGTCTTATGTCAGCTCATGCTCTTATAATTCTTTTATGATAATTAACTAAAACTTTGCAATTAAATCAAATCAAATTTCTCTTGGATATTTTAATATTGTCAGTACAACATTATCGATGCACTATTATATTTACAATTGCGTTTACATAAAATAATTACAATTTTTCCCTGCGTATGTACATTGTAATCGCGATACAATTTAAACATATTTTACACTATCTGTAAAACTTGTACCTGCTGGTCGCTGCAAATCTTAATCATTTTACAACTGTGGCAATAAACTTGTTCCGAATATTTCGATGGCTCCAATTATGAATGTTTCCAAATTACGTACACTATGCATTATACGGAGAAAAACAAATATCGTATGTGTTTCAGACAAGGACTGAACATTATCCTTTCACGCAATTTTTACACGAATGCACGAATGCACACACGCACGCACGTTAAATTCTAAATCAGTGAGTATCGTGAGCATAACAATTTCTGCATAAAATATCAATCAAATATCAATGCAATTACATATCGCACGTAACAAGTTACACAAGTCGAATTTTTTAAATTTCATATTATAGAGATTGTATTCTAAATGTGACTTTTAATTAAGAAAAATACAAGTTGAATCTAAATACATCCCAAATATAACACAAGGGAAAAATGACACAAATATAGGTAATTTTTAAAAGTAACACAATATCATAACAAAATTAATCTACGTTACGTCTAGGGAACTTGAAACAAGCCATCTGTCATTAGCTCTTAGTTAACTTATATTTAATATTGCCATAATAAATAATTTAAAAATACGCAATTTTCTTTACCCTCTTCTGAACAATTTCATATTTTTTATTTGTGTCATTTTTCTTGCAAGAATACGATCGTGGAAACTGATGCATGTGTTATGGATAAGTATATACAGAGTGTTCCATTTTAATTTATCCATACAAATATCTCGAAAAATTTCGAAGATACAGAAAAATGTTTCAGGTGAAAATGGAAAGTTTAGAGGGAAATGTATTTTGGTCACGTTTTTTTTCTGTCATCTGAAAAGGTATAAAGGTCACCTTCGATATTTTAAATGAAATTATATGATTTTTTTTTGCATAATAATATGATTCCTCTAATTATTCTGTACATAAAAATATTATGATAGAGATATAAAAAACCTAATACTTTATGAAATATTTTATATTTTATTCACATATTGACATGAAAGATTAAATATTTCGTAAACTATTAATTTTTTTATAATTGTACATCAATACTTTTGTATGCAGAATAATTGGAGGAATATTATGTAAAAAAAAATCATAATTCCATTTAAAAAAGTGGAAGTAAAAATATGTCGCCACCCTTCGAAATCATTCCACTTTCATATCCGAAACATTTTTCCGTATTTTATGTATTTTTTGAGATATTTGTTTGGAACAATTAAAATGGGACTCTGTTGTGTGTGTGTGTGTGTGTGTGTGTGTGTGTGTGTGTGTGTGTAATATGCACAATGTACAATTGTAGCGCATCTCATATATGTTACTATAAAATTCTATGATGAAAAATTATATATATTATATGGCGTTTAAATACATTATCTAAATGTAGAATGTTCGTAGAAAAAAACCATGATGTATTATAGCTTTTAAATATCTTTGATATTGTCTTCGATGTATTACACTTACATTTATTATGTTCAAGAAGAATGCAGTTTAAAAAAGCGAGGATTTTGCAA